CCTGTCTACGCGCTACATGCCCGGCCCATGTCTATTACATGGACATGGGCCGGGCATGGCCATTACACCGCTGTTCAAAGAACTACTGGCTACTCGCCTTTCTACCTCATATACGGCCGTTAACCGACATTCACCATCGACGTCTTTTTCCTAAATGTGCCAACCGACGCTTCGGCAACCGTATCAGAGCAGTTCATCACAAGACACGAAGAATGCCGGCAACGGGCTCGCCTTAATACAGAAGCCAATCAGCAAGATCGCAAGCAACGCTACGACAGCTCTCATCGCGACGTCTCCTTCAGTCCGGGGGATGAAGTGTTGCTTTGGACGCCCATTCGTACTCCAGGATTGTGTGATAAGTTTCAGTCACGCTTCATTGGACCCTATACAGTCAATGAACAACCGTCCCCAGTGAACTATCGTGTCACTCTTACCGACCTTTCTTTGGATCATCGCTGTCGTGGTTCGGATATTGTCCACGTATCGCGTCTGAAGCCGTTCGTTCGACGTTCCGTTTCTGTCTAAGACGAGTCTGGGCTGGCCGCTCACGCGTGGGGGAAAAATAAGTGTGAGCATCATTCATACGCGTCATCTTATCATATGTACATACTCATAATCATCAGTATAACCTGTGTTGTGGGGCAGAGGCTCGGGAAGTAAAAGAAGTGTCTTGCAGCCAAAACGTCACCTCACAATATATATTTTACAATGAACACAAAACATTTCACATAATAGCAGTGTTCAATCTTTTGTGCACATAGACGTGCATGTGTTTGCAGGCCCATCTATATGTAGAGCGAGAAAATATAGAATTTCTTCATATATGCAGAAAAACCAATAATAAAGAAAAAAAGATATATACAGAAGGCACTTGCGGAACAAAGTTTTTACACAATTTACCTGCAAACGTGGGCAGACTGGACAAAATGTAGAAGTACTTACAAAAAGCAATACAGTGAACTCGATATATATACTGAAACGTAAAATGATTTCTGCAATGCACTAGAATACCCTTTGATAAAATAAAATGTGTCAGAATCTGTAAGAGTGTAGTTCATCGTCCCTATGGTAGTTTTGGGACGTTAAACTCAACATATCAACCAAGTTTATTGTCTCAGTGAATTCCTAGGGGCAATGAGAACTGTTTAAAGCATTTTTGAGTATTTATCAGCATGTATTTTTTCAGCTATAGATCTCGGCAATTCATTCTACTCCTGTATAGCCAAATGAAGAACCGAAAATGAAATAGATGAGTACAGGTGAGAGGTTGACGAACTTTAAATTAATGACTCAAGCGTGCAAATTTCGCAATTGGCGTCGTTATCAATGAAGTGGAAAAAGTTGGAGGGCTGTGAAAGACTACACGCGACACCTTCCATCCACATTGTAGTGTTGCAAGATCAAGGCTCTCATTGATTTTATATGCGCTCGAATAGAAAGAATAATCTGAGGCGATGAACCTAGCAGCTTTGTTTTGTAATAAATTTCGCCTCTTTATGAGGTATCACAAATGCTGCGTCATGCTGGGACTGTGAGCGCCTTTCGTGGCCGAGAAACACCGGGACTGCGGAGATATCACAGGGAAAGGACGCGGCGTGGATGGCGGCTTGAGTTGGGTGATAGGAATACGGGACAGGAGTTTTTTACCGTCACCGTCAATGCTACATAGTATGTCCGAATCAATAATATCACCACGCTCATCGTATGCTCTACACGCGTGGCTGAATACATGCAAGTGCTAGGAAGGAACGTGGCTGTAGCACAGATGAAAGAAGCCGGCCATATTTGTCACATGGAGAGTGCAGGTGATAACATTGTGCCTCAAATGAAGCCTGCCATTGATACCACCTCTAGCAGAGAAAAAAAAATCATCCGGGCTCTATTTCGCCAAGTGAAAGGCATCACTTAGTGGTCAGAGGATGGGAAGCTGCTCATTCAAGCAGCAGCTACGCAAGTTTCTTACGAAGGCGTGGTCGTCAGCGTTGGCACGAAAACTATCTTGGAAGATACCAGCAGACGATTCAATTCAATCAATTCAATCAATCAATTTATTCAGCTTCTTTGAATGCAATACAACATATTTAGTGAAGTATTACATTCGGAGGTTCCATAGTTTCAAGAACTGACTGGGGGATCTCCTAATACTAGAACATATGTATGTTAAGTGTCGAGGGCAACATGAAAAAAAATACATGTGGAATAATTACAGGAAAGCTAAACAAACTTCATAAGAAAAATCTAAACAAGAGATGAACGAAGAAAAAAGCAACAACAAAAAGCTGGCATTGTATATAAATTTATGAACTGTAACATAAGCTAAAAAAAGAAAACAGAAAATTGTATTCGAAATCTTCATGTCACAGACGTCACGAATTCATAAATATAGTGTGAGCACAGGAAGATTTACCGCAAGAGCAGCGTATAAAATATCTAATACCAAACGATATGGAAAATTTTCAGCTGTGAAACAGAAGGAAGAATAATTCATAAAAAAATAATGTATTTATTGGTAATGATAGAAAATCAAGCATGCGCAATGCCAAAAAGAAAAAAAGAAATCGTAATAAAAAAGAAATAAAAATGGCATATCCGTAAGTTATCGTGCCTGCTCACATAACTTGTCGAGACAGAACTTTTTGTGAAGGCTTTGAAATGTATGTACATACGAAGCTGATTTAATTTCGCTTTGTATCGAGTTCCATACAGACATGGCTGAAAAAATGGATGATAGTTTTCCATAATTCGTCCAAACGCCAGGAAGAAGTAGACTGTCGTTAGAAGAGAACCTTGTAATGTTAGTGTAGACAAGAAATTAAGTTGAGTAAGCCGGAACGGAAGTGTCTTATTGCTTTAGCTGAAAAATAAATAGAGGTAGTTTTTGTTTAAATAGTTCTGTGAGTGGAAATATTAAGGTTCTCGTATAACAGCTTAAAGGGCGTAAACACCTTACAGAAGGTCACTAGTCGTACAGCTTGGTTTTGCATGCGTTGAAGAGAATCTAGGTGACAAAAATAAGTATTAGCCCAATATGATACACAGTACGACAGATGGCTATGAATGTAAGAGTGGTAGAGCGAACGAATAATGGATCTTTTAAAATAGTTAAGTGATTTTTTATCATGTGTATGCCAAAAGAAACTTTATGCATTAGTGAACGAACATGAAGATTATATTTTAGGTGCTCATCTAATGTCACACCCAGAAACATGGCGCTGTTAGCGACGGGTATTACATTGTCACCCATCGTGAGCACCACGGGTGGCACTTTTAAAAAGAGAATGAAATACTACAAATGTAGTTTTGGTAGGGTTAAGGTGCAGGTATTTACCACTGCACCAATCACTCGTGAACATCTCGTGAACTTGCTTTGCTCTGAATGCTTCGCGTTGGAAAACCGCTTTTGCCTGTGGAGCAGTGAGTTCTGAAGTGGCCGATCTTTGAAGTTATCTGAAACCAGCTTTCACAGAGTTTGATGCTAGCCTTACCTCGTATATAAAACATTCATGTGTGCTGCTGAGCAGCAGAACTGTGTTTCTTTTTCTCCTTTTTTGCTTTATTTACTTTATTGGTGATGGGCGGATTGGCAGCGCATTGTCATCGATACCAAGATCATAGTTGAGCTCGATCTAAAATTTACCGAACGTGAATTACTCTTCGGGACATTAAATGATGAAGCTCCAGTAAAATATTTGTCTGTAGTGCAAAACGTACAAGTTTTCTTTATTTTCCAGTGGATTCTTCCTACATCACATCATAAGTAAGCAGAAGGGGAGTAGGACTGCTATTTTTATCATTGCCATGATTAGACGATTGATCAGGTGAGAAAGTTACCATTCATTTGATTTTGAATAGTTGAGCAACTTGTTACTCGTTAAGCATGTACATTGTTAGTCTTGTGTAAGATAAGTTTGCCGAAGGAAGCAAGTTTTTGAAACTGTAATCCACCGATGCTTGCTTCAAAAATGTGAAATGAAATTATGGTGCACTTGCCGAAATGGATTTCACCCAATTGGAATGCTGCTTCAACGTGCATCAAGAGACAAGAATCACATTCGAAAACAGACCCGATGCTTTATTTAAGAAGAAACCTTTGATCAGTAGGTAAATCTTATACGCTTGTTCATATGCAGGCAAAACGCACTAATATTCATTTTTACCTCAGGCAAGCTCGCGTGATTTGAATAAGTACTTTGCATTTCAGATAAAAGGCACATCTTTAGCACTTTCGAAAAAGTGAGTTACTAGTAACTACCAAAAATTTTTGAAATTCTTTGACAGTTAGTAAATTTAAAAAGCACAACAGCGCGAAAACGTTGTCACTTCCCCCATTCTCACTGTTTTCTCAAAAATTACCTCTGAAGTTTGGTCATCGGCCAGTAATCTGTAAGGCCCTTAATATGGGTGTAGAATTTTGCAGTTTAGCTGAAATCGCTTCATTTACAGGTGATTTGTTAATGGTGAGCTAGCGTAGGGCATCTTCAAACTGTATATTATATTAGTGCATTCTACATGATATATATTGCTCGGTGGAATTCGCAAGTATGCAATATTGTTTCAATTATTGAGTGCATAGATTCGCAAACATTGTAATCATTCTCACTCTCGAAAATTGCCAAGTTCCCCAACAAATTTCAGTAGGTTTCATATTAATAAAAATCCAGCTCTTGAAGTAACGTTACGCTGATGTTTTCCTGCACATGTAATAAACCTGTTAAAAATCAGTAGCGCGGATACCGGCAAACACCATTTACCCATTGCCATTTTGAACGATATTGGGAACTTCTGTTTTCTTTAAAATGAGAAAAACTTTTCACATAACTCCAGTTTACTTCGCGGAACTTATGCGTGTATACATGAAACGTTCAACGTCCTTTATTGTTTAAATTATTGTATACTGCTCGCCTTGTTCAATCCTTATTATAGCGATGAGATAAGCGCCACGTTGTTTCTCACTATTACTGCTGCATTGCAGATTGTGCGTCCCGCTCTTCTTCGTCATCATGTGCTTCTACATGCTTCCTCGTCTCGTCGACGGTCCGGACACCGAGACGTTTTTCCAGAGATTTTATGCCGACGTGTGGGAACACTGGTGGCACTTGCTTCTCCAGATCAGAAACTTTTACGACATGAAGGTGAGCGTTGAGCGCGATCTGCCTGAGTGATTTTTTTACTGGGCATTCACTGCAGCATACATACCTTGCAGCACACATGTAAGTTCGAGGGAAGCATCCTGTACATAGGTTCTAGCAGAAAGGTTTCAGCACCCTTATGGAACCTCATTTTAACTACATACAAGGAAATATTGTGCGTGCTGAAAATCGTCAACATTCTGAAATAAACGTGTTGCGTTACCCAAACTGTATAGCTGTAAATAAATTTAGCCACTTTCTTGTGGTCGAATCCAGTGATAACGTTTATCTCGCAACCCCATTGGAGATATTTCTTTTCACGAAAAGCAGCGAACTGAAAGTATGTTAAGGAAGAATAACAAAAGCTACACAAATGAACTCCACGTTCACAAACTTAAGCAGCTGCAGGGAGGGGGCTATCAGAGATCAAGAACTATGAAAAAATTATGTACGATTGACACAGTTACTTCCATTATTGCCTCATAAAAATTGCTATTTGCTGTGAACATTGAAAAAGAGTTCGCCTTTATTTCACAGAAATTTCTTCGCGCACCTACGCTGGCAGCCCATGACCCAGCATCGGGGAGATAGATAATTTAGAACACAAGCCCTGGGGATGCCCCTCATTACTGGGTATGGATCAAGCGAATCAAGCCAATTGATGCTTCACTTTCACGAGCCCAATAACGGTGATCAGCTTTGAGTTTTCCAGAAAACCCAAGACGCAGTGGTCGGGCTTAGCGGGCTGTCTCAACGTGAAAGGCGCCCACTGCACGCAAGTCACGTCTTTCAAGACAAGCAATGAAGTTTTACGAACCCATGATTACGATGCTGCATATTACGACCCTTACACACTATGCCTCGGTGCGTTTTTATTGAGTGACATCGTCCCTGCCGCAGGCAATCTGTCTATTTTGGCACGTTGCAAATGGAGTGAAGAGTAGAAAGATGAGTTCAGTGATCGAAAGATCGCGTGATACAGTATGCAGGTGCGACCCGCGGCATTGGCAGTCCATACACTTCGCGCAAATGCGCTCTACTCTGGCACCACCTTGTAGTCTGTAGTGACACTCTAGTTTCCGTTTCCTCCTTTCGTCATCTTGTCCGTGCTTCACATTCACTGTCGTCGTTTGCTGTGTTCCTTGGACTCATTTGGCGGATTTCATGCTGAACGGTTGTGTCAACCGCAATCTCCGACGCCAGCGTAGCTGTCGCCGATCAGTACCGCATCCAGCACTCCTTCGAGCGTGCCCTGCAGCTTTCCTATCTCTTTTTGTGTTTTTATCCTTGTTTACGGCGAGTCCTCCATCTTCCGAATTTATGTTTCTCTTTGTGTCATTCTTTTCTCACCTTCCTCCTCCCCTACAAGAAACTTAGCCATGTCGCCATATTCGGCAGACGAAAATAAGCTCCTTTTTCTTTCCGTCAAAGACCACTTATTACGTTTTCTCGGACCCAGAGGACGAGGCACACCAGCACTTGACGCAAAAACGGGTGCCTTAGAGCTACGCTTTAAATGTAAAAATAGTGCAAGTGAAGCTGGATGATATGAAAGTAAATTAGGTGAAGCAATCGCTAGTCAGAAAGGGCTTTGACATAAGCGGGAGTTGTTATTCGGCAAGGGCATGCAAATATTTTTGTGAGTTCACAAGAACTCTTTAGACTACCACTTATCGTTATAAAATTATTACAGATAATCCGTATGCTGGGCACTTAATTTATGCAGTCGGTAACAATGGCAATATTATTAAGGAAACAAAATATACGTTAATTCATCCTCTGCTGTTTGATTTCTTTGGTTCACGTAAATCTATGAACACTCGGCGTATTGTATACGTGTAGATTACACTAAGAATACGAGTGCAAGTCGAAGAGACTTATCGGCCTGTTTCGCATAGAATTTATTGTTTGCATCACCTCCAACAAGAACATTATGTTATGTGCTTCTTTTCTTTATCTTTAAGCAAGTATTAGGCCATTTGTGGTACTTATCAGTGGACTCCCAACTCTTCGTGGTCTCAATTCTGACGTTGCTGATATTCAGAAGGTGAGTTCACATTGATATTTCTTTTGACCTATCAGGGTTTCAAGCTATGTTGCAGGTACACACGGATTGAAATGGGACAAATTTAAGTGAAGTTATGTACCCACTTTCTTTTCCACCGCCTCAAGTTCTGGTCCCCTAGGCACAAATTGGCTCTAGTGCACAGATGAGAGACAAGCTTATCTTTAGACGCTACACTAATCTCGAGATGACGTGGTTACTTTAGTCTATTGCGCATACCAGTCATTATAGAAAAATATTTGTCACATTTCACTGCGTGAATATTGTTCCTATATTTTTTGTAAAATATATGAATTTAGTAGCTGTTGCATTCCTTACTGTATTCGCAGCTAGAGACCCCGAGAGGTTTTTTTAAAGGGGTTACTCTAACGCAATTATTACCAGTATTTCAGTAGTGTAGCCAGCAGGTGACACAGCGGGCTCGTGCTAACCACTCCAGGAATGTTTTTTTAAATTTTGGCCATGGCATACATAACACAAAATGACCATTATAAAATAGGGCGAGACCCCCCCCCCCTTTTAAGATCAAAAAGGTTCTGAAAAAAATTCTGACTACGCACCTGTGGTATCCTGGACATCATTTAATCAACATCAGTCTGACTACGCTTATTGCAGTGCAAAGGCCTCTTCCATGTTCCACTAATAAAGTCGGTCCTGTGATTGCCGAAGGCATGTGTCGCTTTCGAAATTGTGTCTCCTCTTCGCGCATTTGCTTTCTCCTGGAATACAGCCTGTTACCCTTAAAGACCAGTGGTTATTTGCCATTCTCACTATATGTCCGGTCCATGCCCGTTTCTTCTTCATTTCGAGTAAGACATTCTTAACACACACACTACTCTTCTGTTGCCCGTTGAAGTTACCTCTATAATGTTCCTGTTCATTACTCGCTGTGTTGCCCTGAATTCAGGTTGAAACTTTTTTGTAAGCCTCAAGGATTCTCCTTAGTGGACAAGTTTTCGTAAGATGCAGGAATTATACACCTTCAGAGCTCCAGATTGTAGAACTATGCATACCGTCACTGGGTTTTCTGAGCCCTAGATTGGTAATAGTAGGGGATGCAGGTCAATGTAGAGTACAATAATGATCTATAATTTGCTGATTACGTTGCACTGACAAATAAGACAGGAGACGAACCACAGCTTTTCATTACTGAATTGGGAAAGAAAAGACGAAAGGTAGGTCTTAAAGTTATTATGCAGACAACTAAGATAATGTACAACAGCCTTGGAAGAGAACAGCACTTTGGAATAGGTAGCGAGGTACTGGAGAGGTAAAGGAAAACGTCCGGTTATGACGGGTAGTTACTCCCGAGCCGAACCACGAGTCTGAACTAGGGAAAGAACGGAATGGAGCACATTTGGCAGACACTCTCAGATGTTGGACTTATTGTGCAGTAGATACTACATTTCATTTCAAGTGTCAGCAGAAAAGATGGATGCGGAAACGCCTTTTTGTGGAAGTTCTGGCTGAATTCGAATTAAGTTTGTATAATTTTAACTGTAGGTTACCTCACCCATCACATAGATAAACTTCATGTCGAATTGTTGGGAACATTAAGCAATGTGCACTTTTTTGGCCAAAGCCTGGTCGTGGTAGGTTCACAAGGTAGTACTGATGGTAAAATAACTCCGTGGACAATGAATGCTTTCTGAATTGTCATGCGTTGTCCTTTCACAGGCAAAAACGTCTGACCTTGGCAGTACTAGCCGTGCTTTCCTTGCTAGGGTGTGCCATTGCAACGTGGACCATGGCCAGGTTGCATCTGTTGCCATTCCTCATTGCTCCTTTCCCGGACATTGAGTAAGTACATTTCTACACACTCATCATGTAGTGCAGCGCCAAAAACAGACAACAAACGAGTGAGAGGACGACTTATTTCTGTGGCTTGTTTGCTCCTGTTTTTTGCGCTGCACTACCTTATGATTGAATTGTTCTAACTAGCCCAATTGTTGCTAAGTTGCATGTTTACACAGAATTCCCTAAACAACTCTGCAGGCACAGACACCGATCCAACTTTGTTTTCCAAAATACACCAGTGCAAAACTAATTTGCTGTCATACGTTTTCATTTCAATATACCTATAAGATGTTGATTGCTGAATGATGCTTCCCGTTCAATATTTTGACTCAAATGCAGGCGGGGGGTTACGCGCAGCCACTGGGGGTCACTATAAGCAAGAATAGTATTAGCTGCTGTGTTTAGCATTCTGACACTTTGCTATAATGAAGGGGTATGCCGCAGTAGAAGGCTCCAGATGTTTCGGCCATCTGTTGTTCTTTAACGTGCACCTAAATCTACACATCCGGATTTTAAGCATTGTCGTCTCCATCGAATGTGTTGCTGCCGCGGCAGGAATTTGACACCGGGACAAGCGTTCAGCAATTGAGCACCATAGCAACTGCATCACCATGACAGGTGCTAGTGGCAACGAGTCACGATGCGTACCGCGGACGGCACTTTCATGGTACCGGTGCTCGGTGACATGCTGCCGGTTTGTCACTGCCAGAAGTCACACCAGTTAGTCCTTCTACTTGAAGGTGGTGTGAAGGTGTCCGGCAAACGGCAGATAATCAGACATGCCGATCAGGCAAAGCGTGTTACTTACCAACTCCCACGTTTATATTGGATTTTGGCCAAGCTTCTATGAAACGCAAGTTTGGCGGGCAATGCATTTGCCAGTGCATTGCCAATTGCAATTGAATTTGGCAATGTCTCAAGGCGGGCGATGAATTTGCGCTGAGCCTCTTTGACCCTATCTTGATCAGTTATTTTAGCAACATGGTGTCTCTTGTTATGTTGTCATGATAATCACGCTAAAGTTCTTATATTCTTGAAGAAAATATAGGGATCCTAAAAAAAGTCGCAGCTTTGCCGCGAAGGCGAAGTAATGAACGTGATAGCAACAAATTGGAAGTCACGCGCAGAATGGCAGGCACATCCAAACTTGCTTTGCATTTCTCACACACGAAGGATGCATGAAATATATTCCGAGGTACCGATTAAAGCGAATAAGCGTCTCAGCTGTTAGTTCGCAGTGCCTGAAAAGCGTGTTCTTTTTGCAAGCGGTGGCTGTGAAAAACTTCCAATGACCTTTCTGCGCCCGGTAACTGCAACAGAATTGTTCCGACGAAACTCAATGGCTAGCCAAGACGCAGGTTTCTCCTCACTGCAAGATAAGGGCGCGCGATAAAGCGTACACTCCCTTATTCTCTACTTGGGCCAAAGTACGCGTGAGAGCTGAGAGCCACCGCACGCTCACTGCGCCATGTTGCTGATAATGCTGAAAACACGATCGTTGCCCCCCGAGATGCCCACCAACAGTGGTAAGTGGTAGATATGAATAGCTTGCCGTTTGGACGTTGAAGGAGGTACCTTTCGGTGGCTTATTGTTTAACACCTCGCATTCACGACGTGGAGGTCTCCCGTTCGATTCTGCGCACCGGAGCCTTTTTCTGGAATTTTGTTCCTTTCTTGGGTTTTCATATATATAGATACGTACACATATACGGTGCATGACATCGACACCGACGTCTACTTCGACGCCCGCCCTGACGGCGTTGGGAAAATCCAGCCGAGAGTGTCCATATAACTGCTATCGCAATAATATAAAGACTATAATTCACGCGGTGTAGTCGCGCCATCTCTCGATGGTTGCACAAAAACCCTCATGCTTGAATATTGCAGCCCTGGTTTTCTGTCACCACCGAGTGATAGCGTGACCATGCCGCCAGGCGCACAGATACTCTATATGCTACCGTTAGGTAGCAGCGTTGCTCCACTAATTTCCTGGCACCGCTCGCTCAGCCTGTAGGAGTTCAGTATTACGGAAAGACGGGCTAGTTGGTTTGGCTGCATACTGAAGCTTCAGCCCGCACACATGAGTACACTGACGCAAGAGACACAAAGACCAATACACAGTATACCTTTGGCGTCGTCGCTGACATACATCATCCGTATTAATACATACAATAGCACACCTGGCTGTGTCCTGATAGAACGCACTCGGATGGGGCAATTAAATACGGTTCTGGAAAAAGCACATCAACTTTAGTGAATGTATTGTTGATTATTTGGCATGTTTTGTTTAGGTGCCTAACTTTCCGTTGCCTACATAGCCAGCAAGACAAACATTAGGGCCGTATAAAGTACAGATAAAATTATGTACACGCCGATTGAGTACACATGTGCTGTTTTGTGTAGGACCACGTTACACTACGAAGTAGTTTCCATGAAGCAGACGTTGATGGGCTGCAGACCATGAGGCGAGCTGTTTGGAAACATTTTGCTTTGTTAATGATTGAATAGAGGACCAACATCGTTACACAGAAGTAACACACTTCCTATGAGTAAGCGCAAGACGACGGGCACGAAGAGCGTAGCATTGTTCAAGAGAACAAAGTTACTAAACTTTTCTCTCTATTGGCTCCATGTTCTGACACAGATGCATCTACAAACTCTTCTTTTGTTTTTGTTTTTCTGTTTTGAGGCTTTAAGTAAGCATGTGAACTTCAGACATGCCAGCTGATCAAATGATCCGAAGTGTAAAAGTGCTATTTCGCTTTATCTCTGTAGCGTCTTGGTTCTTTTTTCTTCCAGGCGAATGATGAGCACGGTCAGAGATTATTACTCTAAACCTTTTTATCACGCCGTGTGCTACTTCAGCGGCTGCATGACGTCCCTCATCCTTGCTGACTTCAGAGAGCGTAAGATTTCCAAGGTGGGCTTCTGCTTTTAAACCGAAATGTTTCGAAGTGTGCGATATATGCCTTGGAATACTTTAGCACTTCTAAAAAAAGTGATTTAAACAAAGCCACTGACAATCACTTCCGTCTATTTTATCCTTCACTGACTAGCATCTATGAAAGTAAAGACCTGTTTCTGGTGCAGCAATGCAAATTAAAAACTGGTGTAACGCAACTGGCTCTATAAACACTAGCCCAAGTTACATGTCACGGCGTATGAAATACTCTAGTACTACGATTTCATGGCCTAGTGTGTTTAAAGGCATACGAGAAGGATGTCAATCTTGGATAGCACTGAACCGACGCAGAACGAAGAAATAAGGAACACTAAAAGCTCAACACAAGTGCCCGTGCCAACGTAGCTTCGTTTGAAAAATCATAGCATATTATGATGATGAGAGGGGCAAAGCGTCCGTCTGTCTCTTCATCCACGCATGCGTCCATCCGTCCATCCTTGCGTGAGTGCGTGCGTGCGTCTGTCTGTCTGTCTGTCTGTCTGTCTGTCTGTCTGTCTGTCTGTCTGTTTGCTTGCTTGCTTGCCTGTGTTTGTGTCTGTGTCTGTGTCAGGCACAGCCCACACAGCAGCGAATCAGATGGTAGTGGTTCAGCGGCCTCAAGAAATCTTCACTCAGGTGCATGTTCACTCAGCTGCAGTTTGTATGTCTTATATCAGACAGCGCCATCTATTATACTGTTCGGTAGATACTGCTGGTTACGCCCGACGCGCGACAATGTTAAACAAAGAGAAGCTTCGCTCCTAAAGAATCCATGCATCCGATATGACAAGAATGTGGTGAGTAGGCAAAGCTCTGAGTATTGTGTGCTTGAGTAATTATATGTTGCCCAAGCGTTGTGGCTCACACAATGTCACCTAAATGGACATTAAAAGTCAGCGGCAAAGCTAGGAACTAAGGTCCATAATGTCGACGTTGAAGTCACCGACTAGTAGAAAGGGTTTGTGGTTGTAGGTGCTTCATTTTGCTTCGTCACAATCATAACTGATCTTCCTCTCTTGCAAACTTTTTAGGGGCGAACCTCTTTATGGCGTGGCTTGTGCGTCCCTCGTCGTAGTGCGTAACCACTGGTGGCACATACCCGAAAGTGTGGTCTTTAGAAGGTCCACTGAATGGCGGCACTTGCATATGATCAATACATGATGAACAGGTGTAAGATGGCTGTAGTTGGTGTGTTCACTAGACAGAGGGACTGACGGACATACAGATGGATGGACAGACTGACGAAAGCATGAACGGACAGACAGACAAAGGGGCGGACGCATTGTCGGACGGATGGAGAGACAGAGGGATGATCGCACGAGCACACGCACGGACGGACGGACAGACTTACGAGCAGACAGATGGAAGAACGGACGTACGGGTGGACGCATGGACGGGTTTATGGACGGACCTACGCACGGATGGTCACACGGATGGACGGACACATGAACGGACGCATGGACGGACTGAAGCAAGAACAAATGTGCGGACGGAAGCACGGAAGCGCAGACAGACTAACGAACGCTTCGCCCCACCAATCATCATTCACTCCGTGGATACGCTTTGATTTTAAATGCGAAGCATTTCTTAGCGAACTTCAGCGACTTTTAGCGTGTCCACTTTTATTCACCTACACACATATGTTTCGGTTATACCAATGATTTTTCATATTTCATGACAGCATACAGTGAGAGTCAACGACAAAGTTCTGTGCTAAAGTCCATTGTGTTCACGATGATCTTGCTGACTAACATAACTACATTGTGCTTCTAGATAGTTTCCATTTATCCGCCATAAATATTATTGACGTTAGTCTATCATTAAATGTTTCTTGCGACCCACTTGCACAGATGTGCCCGTGACGGACACCGCGGGCGTAGACGACAAGCTTTAGCCCTAAGGTGTTTCCTCTTTAAAAGCTTCCCTAAACCCCAGCTGCATTAGCACGCACAGGCACGCTGCCCATTACACCCTCCGAGTAATCGTCAAGTTCGGGAGAACAAGACTTATACAGACCAGAACCACCTTCCGGAAAACAGTTTGTTGCACAGCACCACGGAAACGTCACTGACAGTTTTTCTTTTTTTTTCAATGTACAGAGAGAGGTTTCATGAGTAGCGTGGTAAGAGATTTCGCACTTATTTCCATAGTTATAACACGAATAATTAGCACCGACTCACAGGCGCAGGTCCTATAATGAGTAGTTAAAAAAAAGAAAATTTATTCACAAATCAGCAGTGTTCCTGTGCTCAATTGTTGACGCTATACTTGTAGCTTAGATGGTAGAAAGATGGCTATAGAATAAGTCTTGTTGTTGCTATTTTGATCAAACTTTTCTTTCTTGTGCTAAATTGATCCTATCCAGTACTTAGTACAATGAAACAACTTGCCCTGCGATTTGTTAATGAAAAAAAACAGTGTGATGAAAATAAAACAAGAAAAAACTGCATAGAGTTTTGAAATTATTCCATATTTTTTCCTCGACACATCAAGAGGCAAGTGAGTATTAAAACTGAGGGCATAAGATCTGCCTTATCTGATCATGTTTTCTGCATTAAGAGTTTGAATGAAGTTACTAAGGGTAGTAAATTCAAATGGTAAAAGAGAGAGAATCCTTTCTATCATAGAGCTGCCTTGCTTACGTGTCATTCATTGGCTATAATTTCTTGTGAAAAAAAAAAACTGTGACAGTATCACATCAGTGCACTATCACGAGAAACAGGGATGGTGCTAAATTTTTTATTTGTTTTATTTTCACCAATAAAAAAAATCAGTTTTTTTTCTAGACCACACCAAAGAGAAATTATGAAGCTTCATAGAAAATTAGAGCAGTGTTCAAGTGCTCACAAAGAAGCTGTGAATATTATTCACAGAGACCACATTGTTGTCAAGGAGGGTCAGTTTTGTATCGCGAAGTATTATTGATTGCATGCTGTGAAAGGTATGGCACCTTCACTTTAGATATAATACGAATCTATTCCCTCCAGCTTTTTTTATCTTCATGTTTAACTTATTAAATGTGTATAACAAATCTTCGCTTATTGTGCTTAGTATTTACAACTTGTGGTTACAAGACTACCAGAAAGAGTTCAGCAATAAGTCGATGCTGTCTTATTCTTTTTATATATAGCACCTACCTGTTAATTATGCGTACTATGGACAAGATGTTAAAGAGTTGGGCCATAATAATTTGTGCGTGCAATCCATGCAGCTCTATCCTCAAAAGCAGTACCGAGACTATGTATACGGCGGTCTACTACACAAAATATTGTTTATTAATTTCATGTCATTTTAATTCCGAACGTTGCAGAACTTGATCGCAAAATATGCAGGAATCTATGAAGCGATTCAAGAGTGACAGCTATTTGTAAGAAGTACGTAAGGACAATGGAAGCTCTTTTTCATTCTACATTGCAGACTGTTCTGCTGGCAGGCTGGTGTGCTTGTGTCAGCTGTGGCCTCTTCTGTGTATTCATAAAGCTTCCGTGGTACTTAGAAGAGAATCCCACCACGAACTACATGGAGATAGCTCTGGCCTTCTTCGACAGAATACTGTGGTCGTTCTGCATTAGTTGGCTTACGCTGACGTGCTCAACTGGCCGAGGTGGTGAGAGCACCGTTATTTCTTTATGTGTTGCATATTTGATGAAACTTGCTGTTTACAGGAATTGTTGAAAGGGGCACGTTTTTTTGTGCTTCAGCTTAAGTCCTGTTTCCGTAATAAACTTCACATGTGCCAAATAAACACTCAAACACTAAGGGCATTTGGTATGCGGTAACGTTTGTATCCATTTGTTAAAAAATATCTCAGTTTATTTTTGGAACAATCTGTTAGGATAAAGTATTAGGAAACATGAATTGCTCTCCTTCTTCACTTGTCAACTTGCTCCTTGAAGTAAAAATCAATTTCGAAGGCCATTATTCTGGGTAATACTCAGAGTGATAGTAATTTTGAAGGCTTAAGCGGAATGCCATCACAGCCATACACTGGTTCTATTTCTCTGTTCGTTACTTAGCAGGGGCAGCACAGCACACAACGTGGCAGGACCAGCGAGAGACGTTGTCATCTCCAATTCGTCATATCTGTAAATGAAACCTTAGAAAATTACCAGTTTTCGCAAAACTATCTCAAGTCGGTTTTTGTGAATGGTCTGTTTCTGTTTGACCAAACCGAAAAAAGATTTGAAAATTTTCAAAGAGAGGCAAAATAAAAACTTTCAGTATTATCGATTGGTGTAAACCACGTTCTTTATACAGACTTCTTCAGATTCAAATAAATTGTTTGGTTGAAGGCACTGAACGAATGGGAATGGCGTACGCATAGTTTCAAAATACTGCCGGGGTATCATGTAAACAGTTCTTGGGTGTGCTTTCGATTTCTGTGTGCACGACTGATGCGGAACGACATGGAAATGCCATTAGGTAATAAAATGGTGTTGGCTAAGAATCCTGCATTCTTCGGTGTTAACGTGACGCATTTCGTGCAAAGCGTTATCATAATCTTGATGAGCATTTAGCACCATTTAGTGTTATAGCACTGTCAAGACGTGACAATGACTATTTCATTGTTTTCATTATGTATCTAAGAATTTTGATTGAGTGGTTGCAGGCATGTTATCTATATTTATGACTGAGTTATCTTCAATGACCCGCACGCATGAAGTGCTTAAGGACCACTTCACAAGTTTTCCTGACTTGGATCACCGTTATTGTGATGAAATGTTTTTGTTAGTCACGAATATCGCAATGAAAAGGCTGTATTTTTGTTTCGTTCTGCACATTTAAAAGTAGTAAATTGCTGCTCTATGTTCATGTTAAGAAAATTCATTCAAAACGTCATGTGAAAGCAACCATGAGACAAGCTAGTTGTATAAAGGGAAACCTCCACAGAAGACTAGCTACACTCTAAGCCTGTTGTCTCTTGTATAAAAAAAGAAAATAATAAAAAATGCAGGAAGAGCAGTGATGGACAAACAAACAAGCATAATGGAAGCTAA